CCTGCCCTTTGATCCCTGAAAGAAGTGGCAGGAATGTCAAGCTGCCTGGATAAAAAGGCACGTGCCTCCCTGAAGAAGGCAGAGTGGCAGGCAGTGGGATGCGCCCGGCGCCATGGCAGAGCAGCCACGGGCTGGTGGCTGGGAGGCAGAATTTCCAGCCCTTCGGGATTTTTTAGAGCAACCTTCAGTCACTGCTCCCTCCAGCTCTCCCTTTGCTCTAAGCAAGCATAACAAAAGAGAGTCTTTCGGAGGCAATGAAGTGAAAAATGCATGCTTTCAGCTATAAATCCATCTTCTGCCAGCCAGATCAGGGCATTGATTCTGTTGATGAGGGTGTCCCTCAATATTACCTCGTGCTCACCGGGTGACCTTGGACGAGTCACTGCCTCCAAGACTACCCTACCTCTCCTGGTTGTTGTGAGGGAAAATGGAGGAGAGAAGCTTGTACACAACCATTAACTCCTTGAGTACAGAGAGACTCTAGGTGTAACAAAGGGAAAGAAAACTGATAATGTCGAAAGTGCCTCACAGTATGGCATAAACAGGTTAAAACAAGCCTCCTTAACATATAGAATGATCAGCTGTGCTCTGAATGGGGCTTTTACTGGGTGTGCTCAGTAAATGAGCTGTACCTATGCAGAGCTGCTTGGGAGCAAATGGCACTGAACACAGAGAGACTTCGTTCAAGACGAATTTGATTGTAACTTGATGGCGCTATCACTTGTGAGACCTGCAAGTGCTCCAAAATGTCCTGTCCACAGAATCACAGAACAGTGGGGTTGGAATGGCCACTGGAAGGACATCAATTTACACCATCCCACTCAGATAACTGTCCGGTTTTCTTTTGAATTTCTTGGGTGGGAGGGCCCACCACCTCTCTAGGCAACTGGCTCCACTGTCATTCCATGATAGCCCTGTTCAGCTATTCCAAGTTGAAGGCTGCAGCTTCCTTTGTGGAATCTATCCATCTCCCATCTGGTCTTCTGTCTTCGGCTTTCCCTAACATGATTGCCTTCTCCAGTGAGTCTTGCCTTCGAATGATGTGCCCAAGGTATGAGCGCCTCAGTTTTGCCATTTTTGCTTCTAGGGAAAGCTCTGGCTTGATTTGATTAAGACCCGGGGAACCTCCCAATGTCAACTAAGGTGAGGGTGCAGCTAGCAGAACTAGGGCCTTTGCAGTGATGGTGCCCTATCTGTGCAATGCCTTCTTCAGAGAGGTTCACCCCATGCCCATACTGCACTCTTTTCAGCACCAAGTGACAATTCCTTTCTTCTCCAAAGCTTTTTAGTTTTTTTGGTTCTAAAAACGTATTAGAGTATTTTATGTCTTTGCACTGCTGTTGGTTTTACTTTGGCTTTATTCTGTGACTGTTTTAATTTGATTTAGATTTTATAGTACATTTTAATATGTTTATATTATGCTGCTCCTTGAGAGAGGGAGAGGTGCCAGCCACTTTAAAAGAGACAGTAATTAGGTCACTCCTGAAAAAGCCTAACCCGGACCTGGAAAATGTTAACAACTATAGGCAAGTTGCCAGTATCGCCTTCGTGGGCCTGAGTCGGTTGCTGGCTAACGCTAAACTCTCTTGAATGAAACTGATTATCTAGATCCATTTCAATCAGGCTCCAAGCCTGATTTTGGAATGGAAGCTTCCTTGGTTGCTCTGAGGAATAATCACTCCCAAGAGAGGGAGGGGGACAGTGTGGCTTTGCTGATTGTATTGGACCTGTCAACAGTTTTTGATACCATCAACCATGTTTTATTTCCTGGCTAAGTGACCCAGGCTGATGCTGCAGGAACTGTTGCAGTAGATACATTCTTATATGGATAGCTAATTCCAGAAGGTGGTATTGGGGGTTATTGCTCTCTCCCTGTCAGAGATGTATGAGGAATTCAGTGCAGTTCATTTTTGATCAGGGTTTATACTCAGTTTGTGTCTTCTGGACTGAACACAACACAGACTCAAATGCAACCAGTGGTTCAATCCGTACATTTGAAACCTTGCAGTGCGATCCACAGACCCACAGAAATGCATTTAATGGCATGTATACCTTTGAAGAATGCATGTCTAAAATGTGCAAATTTTAAAAATGTACATGGACACTTTTTACTCAACAGGAGAAGAATGCATACAATTCAAAGAAAAGCACAATTTATGAATATATTTGGAAAAAATAAGCATAAATATTTGCACAGATTTTCATGCAAAGACAAAAATCAATTAAATTCCAAAGCAATCTGATATGGACTTGAGTCAGAACAAGCTTTGAGATGAAATTTGGAGAACTTTGGTAAACTTGATTTTTGTTAATTTGCAGATCCCTCATCCTTAGGTAGGAATGCCCTGGTGGACCACAGAGCCCTGTTCTTTCTCCCATGCTGTACATAAAACTTCTGGCAGAGGATCTCCAGAGGTGTGGATGACACCAGCTTTGTTTTGCTTTCCATCGAATTCCAATGGGACATTGGCTCTTCTGGCTCAGTGCCTGGGCATGGCAGTAGCATGGATAGGGGCCAGCAAACTGAGATTAATCTGGACAATGTAAGGTCCTTTTGTGGCTGGTTCCTCTGCCTGGATGAGTGATAGTCAACCTCTCCAGGAGGTGGCTGTACTCCCCCCCAAAAGACTCAGGCGCATCGTTTGGCGATGCTCTTGGGACCAGCATTGTCAGTTGAGGCTCAGGTGGACACAGTGGCACAGAGCATCCTTTACAAGCATAGGCTGATAGGCCAACTACGTTCTTCTTTGGACAGGGAGATCCTAGCTCTGGGAACCCTCCTTCCGGACCACTGCCTGGGGCTGTGTTTGAAAGTGGCCGAGAATCCTCAGCTGGTTCAAGTTAGGACAGCACAATTGCTAACACAGACCGGCAGTTTGGTGATCCTGCACCAGTGCCTTGCGATTTGTATGGGCTGCCAGTTCATTTCTGGGCACAGTTCAAAGTGTGGGCCTAAAGTCCTCCACAGCTGGGGGCCAGGTCACCTGCAGGAGTGTATCCAGCCCTGTATACCTGCCCAGGCGCTAAGATTGTCTTCAGTGGTCCTCCCTGGGAGCCCCTGCATTATGAGATGAGGCGGCATGTGCTGAGGAGGGGCAGACCCCAGCGAGAGCACCCCAGTGGCACAGCCCCCCTCTGGAGAGACCTCATCAGCAGTCAGCAAAGACCTTTCTGCCTTCCAGGTATTTGAGTCCTCCAGCTCCAGCAAGTTCGGTGGGTGCATTTGTAGATCTTGGCTGTGCTGCTGGCTTTGATGCCGCTTCTCACTCTAGTTTTCCTCGTACATTTTCAACTTAAAGGTTTCCCTATTACGTTTTACTATGCTGTTATGTTTTAGGGTTTTAAGTTTTATTCCGTGAACCACCCAGAGAGTTTCAGCTAGAAAAGTAATGAATGAATGAATGAACAACTGTTATATTTATGTGTTTTTGTTTTTGTTTCTGTTCTAATCTTTACTTTGTGAATCGCCCAGAGAGCTTTAATGATTGAGCTGTACAGAAATAGAGTACATAAATAAAATTGGGAGCTTAAGCAGGGACAAAAAGAATCCACTTGCATCAGGAGGATTTTCTTCTTGCTGCCCCCCTCCCATTTGTCAGGATGAGTAGTTTGGCTACTTTGCGTTTCGTTGGGGAATTTATTTGCACTAATGCTGCCTCTGAAAGGAATAGAATCTTTCTTTCCCTTTGTCTTGCTGTTATAATTTGAATTCATTTTCAAGCAGAATACCACAATTCCTTGCTGAGCTATAGTACTGCCATAATTACAAAGTCAAATGCAATCATTAAAAACGCAACGTTTACTTGACACCATCTTAGATTGCTTTTCCTCCCCCCACTCCTGAACCTGCTCCGATTGGAATGAGTTGCATCAAATAATTTACAAGTGTGAATGCCAAGGGAAAAGCCTGGCTTCCATTGTCGTCTTGCACACAAGAATCACCTCCCAGCCGCTACAAACTGAGCAGAGCCCTGCAATGGGACTACCTCTGCCCACACGAGGCCTCTTGGGCGACTAAGATGGCGCGGTGGCAAGCCTGTTGGGGAACTCTCCGCAGGAACACGAAAGCAATGTTTTTAACCATCAGCTTGACCTTCACCTTCTGTCTTCTGACTAGCCTTATTACCCGCACACGTAGACAAAGGCAATACTAAAAATGAGCTCAAAATGACTTCATTCACTTTCATTATGGCTGGCAGGTGCCGAGGGACCAACAGACAAGAAGCAGGGCATCCGTGTATGAACTTGAGAAGACGGAGCTGGCTTTGAAAATCAAGGAGCTACAAAGGGAAGGGAGCAGAAGCACAGAGGAAGTAGAGAAAGAAAGGAGAGAGGGAGTGAACACAAAATGGCTGTGTGGAGAGACTGGGGAGACTGGGAAACACAGGGAGACTAACTTATTTTAAGGACACAAATGTGTTCCAGGGACCTTTTCTCTGATACTGCAAAACATTCATTTGATACACTTAGGGAATCGTTCAGGAACTGTTCACTTACCATGTTTTTAAAGGACATGGGCTCATTTATAAGGTATGTGCAAAAGTAAGAATTACCATGAATCTATCTGTCACTAAGAGAGCAGCTTGCAGTCCCTGCATGGAAGGCTGTGGATCTCCCCCTAGGAGAACGCGTTTCAACTTCAGAGCTGCTTCTGGAAAGTTCAGACTTTGCATTAACCCTTTGTCTGCACAGACAGAGCAGCTCTCACATGACTCATGCTGACTACGTGTTCTATTTATTTATTTTATTTATTAAAACATTTTTATGCCGCCCCATTCGCCGAAGCCTCGGGGCGGCTTACAACATAGATAAAACAATAAGTTAAAATATCCATATAAAATAATCTTAATTAAAACACACATAATAAAATAAGCCGCCCTGGCCAGATAAAATTCAATTGTATGTAAGCATGGATTTGTTGCAACAAGCAAGAAGTGCATTTCTGAGACGACATTTTGGCAGGTACATGGAGGCCACAGAAAAGAGATTTGGAGACTTACCCTGATATTGTCTTGCCAACGATGGGCTTTCTGGAACTTTTCTGCTGCATCAGCCAGCCTCTGAAAGCAAAAGAGGAGAGAGAGGGTGAGTCCATAATATTGTACGGATTGCCATCCTGAATGGGGGTTGCATTTAGCTGTCTGCTCCATCATGTGCAGAACACACTACATCATTTCTGCAGCTCATGAAGTTGCAGAGCATTTTTAGCATGTAATTTTGCTATGAAAAATGATTAAAGGTTGATAGGTTCCAATGATTATCTTCTATATGCAAATCTGATTTAATTTAATTAAATGCATGGTTAAACCAGTGGAAAAACACGTGTGTTGTTGCTTTATGGGCTCTGTTTACTCCTCTTCACAAGAATGTTTGGCTTCTATTGGCCTATGTGGGTCAAAGTCAATAGAAGGCAGAACCTGATTCTTGGTCCTAACACTGGCCCACAAATGTCAGTCCAGATCCCCCAGAAGTCCAGCATCATTCCATTCTGTGGGAGAAGATTGTGTACTTGTTAAGTCAAGATGGAATTTGTGCCCTTTTTCTGCAATTTCTGCACTCTGAGTTCTTAACAAGAGGTACAAGTGCCTTTGACAATAGTAATTGTACACAGCATTACTTACTCGGGTGGAGAAACAGCATGCGAGCTGCACCCATCACTAATGTCTCCATGTTGAGCATGATCATTCAACACGTACATGTGTGGGCTCCCCCTCTTTAGACCTTTTCGCTGAACAAGCAGACCCTGCGGGGATGGGTTGTGGGGGAGATGGCCAGGGTGGTGCCTGTCAGCAAGGCCCTGTACTCTGCTCACACATTTTTCCTAACAAGCAAGTTAAGAGATACTTGAATAGGGCTAGTAGAAGTCCCAGAAGTGTGCTTGGGCTGGGAATCCTCTGCAGGAGCAGAAAACAAACTTTACCAGAGGCTCATTCTTTCCAAGACACTTTGGATCTGAGCTTAACCCTTTTTGGCTCTTGCCTCTTGGCAGAGCAGCAGAGGCACAGGCTGGGAGAGAGTGCTGAGTGGCCAGGGGACTGGTGAAGGCAAGGTAGGAGCTGGGCAGAGGAGCAGGGGGTCAGAAGCCGCAGAGAGGAAGGGAGGTGGGGCCAGAGAGGCCAGAGGGGCCAGGAGGAAGCAGACGGGTGGGGCCCCCGGCCTGAGGGGCTGATAAGGCATCCTCCCTTAGCTGTGGCCCAGGCTGCCCGGGGACGCCCTTCCCTGGGGGGCTGAGGGTTTTGTTTTTAGTTTTACTGCTTTGTTTTTCTTTCTTTCTTTGTTTTTGTTTTTTGTTTTTTTGGTGCTGTGCTGTGCTGTGCTGTGCTTTGCTTTGTTTTTCCTCCAATTTAAATTTTATTTTATCCTTGCATGTGTGTGTGTGTGGGTTTTTGTCTGGGAGAACTGGGCAAGTGAGGGGAACTGCAGGACAGACAAGGCAGGGGGCCAAGGTAGGGTCTCTGAAGGGTTCCTAATGGCAGACCAGGAGATGGCCTTGGCGGGAGTCATGGGTGTTGCTGTCCACTGCGACAGCTGCGGCATGTTCGCCCTTCTCCCCCAGGAGAGGCAGGGATACACCTGCCCTCGGTGCAAGCTGGTGGTCCTGCTAAAGGACGAGGTGAGGTGCCTGAGGGCCAAGAGAGCGCTCCAGGCCCCCCGGGAGCAGCCCCCGTCTGGACAGAGGGTTGAGGGAGGGGCCACCGGAGGAGCAGCCGGGGAGACAAGGAGGCATGTCACCCACAGGAGGAGGCGGCCAGCATGGCCTCCTCCTTCTCCTGGCACCAATCTGGAGCTGGGAAACAGGTTCTCTCCGCTTGGGGAGGCTGGGGCTGATGAGGCCTCAGGGGACCAGCAAGACCCCCAGCCTGGGACCACAGGTGGCAAGGGGGCCACTGCAGGAGAGGCGAGGGCCAGGGCACGGCTGCCCACCACCACCGGGAAGACATGGCAGCAGGTGATAGTCATTGGGGACTCTCTGCTGAGGGGCATGAGGTGGTGGTGTCCCGCCCCAACCTGGAGATGAGGGAGGTTTGCTGCCTGCTGGGTGCACGCATCTGGCATGTGAAGGACAGAGTGGAGCATCTTGTTCACTCCAGGGGTCACCAGCCACTTCTGGTGATCCATGTGGGCACAAACAACGTAGCCAGGCAGGGTGTGGTTGGGATCACCAGGGACTTCGAGGCCTCGGGGAAGAAACTCAGGGAGCTAAACGCCCAAGTGGCCTTCTCATCGATCTGACTGGTCTGGGGATTTGGGCCAGGCAGGGACAGGAGGGTCTCCGAGGTGAACAACTGGCTTAGGGTGTGGTGCCAGAAGGACCGCTTCGGGTTCCTCGACCATGGCACCCGGTTTCTTGCCAATGGACTTCTGGCAAGGGATGGGTTGTACCTCATGAGGATGGGGAAAAGGTCCTTTGGAGATGCTCTAGCAAGTTTTGTCTGGAAGACTTTAAACTGGGCCGGGGGGGGGGGCGGGTTCAGGCCCCCCAGAAACATGTCTGCACTGGACAAGTGAGAGGAAAGGCTCAGGGCTCTGGGAGCAGGGTTTTAGAGGTACTGCAGGGACTGACAGGACTCCTACAGAGAGGGGCCAGGTATCAGGGAGATGGGAGGAAGGAGGCTGGGGACTCCAAGGAAAGGAAGTGGTGGGAAGGAGTTGAGGTGCACGTACATTAATGCTAGGAGCATGGGTAGTAAGCAGGAAGAGCTCAAAGCTCTCCTGGGAATAGGAGGGTATGACCTGGTGGGCATCACAGAAACTTGGTGGGATGAAAGGCAAGACTGGAATGTGAACATAGAGGGGTATCATCTTTTTAGAAAGGACAGGAAGGGAAAGAGGGGTGGGGGCGTAGCTTTATATGTCAGGGAAGGGATAGGATGCAGTGAGATAGAATGCAGCACAGATGGGATTCAGTAGAGGCAGTCTGCATGAAACTTAGGGGTTTTGACAGGGAAAGAGACCTGACAGTGGGGGTATGTTAGCGCCTTCCTGGTCAACTTGAGACCCTGGATGATGTCCTGACAGACCAGATTCTAAGGATATCTCGGGGGAGAGACAGAGTAATTATGAGAGATTTCAATCTCTTGGATATTAGTTGGGAAACTCACGTTGCCAGGTCACATCGCTTCCTAGAAGCTATAGAGAGAGGGTTTTTCACACAGAGGGTCCGAAAGGCGATGGGGGGGGCATCCTTGACTTGGTCTTGAACAATAGAGAGGAGCTGATAGATGAAGTACATATTAGGGGAGCTCCGGATGCGAATGATCACTCGATCCTTTGCTTTGAGATCAGGGGACTGGGAACGTGTAGCAGGTCGAGCACTAGAAGCTGGGACTTCAAGAGGGCCAACTTTGGCCAACTGAAGGCCAGACTGGGGAAAGTCTCCTGGGATAGGTTACTGGAAGGTAAGCGAGTTGAGGAGGGGTGGATGGCACTCAAAAGGGAGGTTTTGGAGGCGCAAGCCTTGACGATACCTCTAGTCAGTAAGGTGGGGAGGCGGAGGAGAGTGCCGCCATGCATGCAAAAGGAGGTGGTTAGAGGGATTAGACAAAAGAGGAACCTCCGTAGGAAATGGGTACTGGGGGAAATAGACAAAAGGGTATACCAGGAGGAGGAGGCCCATTGCAGAAGGCTAAGGCTGATTACGAGCTGGGACTTGCCAAGAATATCAAGAACAACAAAAAGGGCTTCTTTCAGCATGTAAATAGGAAGAGGAAGGGGAGACAAGTAGTGGGACCACTAAATAAGGAGGAAGGAGATCCAGTGACTGATATGAGGGACCAGGCACAGATGCTAAATGACTATTTTGCCTCTGTGTTCTCCCCAAAGTAGGACGGGGGATATCCACATAGGAGATTAGATGAGGCTGGGGACTTAGGGGCACAGATTAGAGTCACCCCCCTTGAAGTCGAGGGGCTTCTCAGGGCATTGGACGTTACAAAGGCACCAGGTCCTAATGGGTTACACCCGAGAGTACTTAGAGAGTTGGCAAGGGTTCTCTCACGCCCGCTGGCCTCCATTTTTGGGGCCTCATGGAGAACGGATGACGTTCCAGAGGACTGGAGGGTGGCATCAGTGGTCCCAATTTTCAAAAAGGGTAGTAGAAGGGGCATGGGGAATTACAGACCTGTTCACCTTACGTCCATTGTAGGAAAAACAATGGAAAGGCTCATAATAGAGAGAGATCTAGTGATGCTAGATAGGGAAGGGAGGCTGGCAGCCACACAACACGGCTTCCACAAAAACAGGTCCTGCCAGACAAACCTGGTGGAATTCTATGACAAGGTTTTGAGATGGCTAGATGGAGCAGATGCAGTGGATGTGGTATACCTGGATTTCAGCAAGGCCTTTGACAAAGTGCCCCATGATATCCTGGTGGAGAAACTGAGGAGTTTTGGGATACACCAAAGCACTGTCCGGTGGATTAGGGCATGGTTGACTGACCGAAAGCAGAGGGTAACCATTAGTGGGGAATCATCGGGATGGCGGCCAGTGACAAGCGGGGTCCCCCAGGGTTCTGTCCTGGGGCCGATCCTGTTTAATCTTTTCATAAATGACATGGAAGAAGGGGTGAACAGTCTGCTGATCAAATTCGCAGATGATACTAAAACTGGGGCAGTGGCCACAACTGAGGAGCAGGTACTCCAGATCCAAAAGGATATGGACAGACTATGGAAGCGGGCAGGAGACAACAGGATGGCGTTCAATGTGGGTAAGTGCAAATTCTTGCACGTGGGGCATAGGAATAGGTGTCATATGTACAGGTTAGGGGACAAATGGCTGGAGAGCAGCACTTGTGAAAGGGACCTCGGGGTGCTGGTTGACTGCTGGCTAACCATGAGTCAGCAGTGTGATGTGGTGGTTAAGAGGGCGAATGCCACCCTTGGTTGCATAGCCAGAAGCGTAGCTTCTAGATTGAGAGAGGTATTACTCTATACGACTCTGGTGTCCCTGCAACTGGAGTATTGTGCTCAGTTTTGGGCCCCTCATTACAGAAAGGATATAGCCCGGTTAGAGTCAGTGCAGCGTAGGGCCACAAGGTTGGTGGCCGGTTTGCAGGGGATGA